TTTCCCTTATGGATAGCATCCCTTCCTGGATTTCTAATTGTGATTATGCCAAATTAACCATTTAAACATAACCAATACTCTAATCTCCTGGAACCTGATCAAGACTGAATCCATCCATTAACAAAGGCATTACATAGTTAAGAAATAGTGATTTAGATGGAGACAAGTATGCCCTTGCTTTTTCTAAAGACTAGTGCTTTTCATAGAAAATTAGGACTAGACTATGTTATAATAAAGAATTAACATTTCTAAAAATTCTTTAATTCAAATTCCTATAACTTTTCTCCTTATTCTTTCTAAATCAAACATGTAGTTCCTTCCCACCGCCCCCCTTCCCCCAAATGCCACATATGACTAGCCTCTCTGATATTTGAAGAGCCTAGAATTAGTGTGAAAGGAAATCCCTGACCCACAGCCACCCCTCTGTAGCTCTGGCCCCTGTGTTACCACAGGTCTCCTGGGGACCTCTCAGTGGAGCCCCCAGGCACATCTCTAGATTATCTTTACATAGCTGCCCTTGGTCTTCCCTTTGCCCTTTGGAATATAGCCCCCCAGAATGATGGGACAAGGCCTACACAGACTTACGTATGTATAAAGGTAGTTCTAAGATCCTGGGACCCCTTAGCAGAAGTAGGGGTATGGGTTGTGGTAGGGTCAGTACATTCCCTTGGAAGTACATTTCAGGGAGGGGCACCCTCAGAGGAGGCCTAGAATGTGGCTCTCTAAAGCACAGGATATAGAGGAGGGGCCCATGGTGTGCTGGTCCAATGGCAGTGCTATCTGGATCACATCTGTACAATGCGTATGTATATATTCCGATAGGTCAGTACCTCAGTCGAATGTTCTGTCCACATTTGCCCACCCACACCACGGTCACAGATTTCAAGGACCTAGATGAGAACCAGATAGGATACTTTCTTTTTATAGTACCTGACTGTTTAGTTAGGCAGAGATTCCTCTTGATATGCAGTCTAAGTATGACGTCAACTGCCTGGTAAAATCTTGAAAAGAATCAAAGGAATATGTGTTTCAAGTCATGTACAAGTTAGGTTGTGTGATGCTATTAAAGAATATACGTGTTAATAAACCCTACCCCAAAGATGCAGCTCAAAGACAGGGAGGCCCTAAACCTCTCCTTGCTTTTCTTACCAGGATTCCCCTCCTAAAGCAGCCACTCACTTCCATATGGGTGACAACAGTCAACTCTCACGCTCAACTGCAGGTTTCCCATTTGGGAAGCCTTTCTGGGGCTCTCTGGCCAGGCAAGGTATCCTCGCAAAGGCTCCCACAGCTCTACCCTTCAGTTCTTATCACAGGGTACTGTCACTGCTCCTTGATCATCAGCCTCCCCACCAAGTTGTTGCCAACCTGAGGTCTAGTTCTACATCTGATCAGCAAATCACTGTCTGCCCCTTATCCTGGGATGTATCACACAGTACTTCTCACCAAATGCTTCTTCCCAGCTCACTAGCAGCAATAAGATGTCTGAGCAAACATAGTTTTGGAGTTGATGTTAACAGCTCCTCAGTACCAGGGATTTTACTACTAAATACAAACAAAATACTACTGCAGCTCCTGAAAGAGAAAGACAGTCCGAAAATAAACATGCGACTAGTGTTACAGAAATGGAGACCTTGGGGGCACATACCAGTACCACATCAGTTTATTCTGGACTATTTAGATGTCATTCATTTGTAGTCAACCTCAGGCCACATGCCTTTAAAGGGGGGACATTTGTTTAAAAGGTGGTAGTCACACTTTTTGAGAAAGAATTTGCATATATGTGTGTTATCATTTCATCTGAAGATTTCAAAATCTTCCTCTCACTGAAACTGGACTGAGGGTGCTAAGCAACACTTACCAGAAACTGTTCGCCCTTAAACTTGAAATATGGCATTCTCTACCCATTGTAAACAGTGTTAACTATCGGCAACAGATGGGCTGCTTCAAGAATGTGATGGAAGAGCAACTGTCTTTTGACATGAAACCATGTATGATGTTATTTCAAAAGCAAGCAAGGCTACTGGTAGAAATCTCAAACACTGGCCAATAGTACAAAAGAAAGCCAAAACAATATATATATAAAAATATATAAACACTGAGCATTTGCAGAGGCCTGGTAACTTTGTAAGTCTTACTTATTGGAATGTGTAAGGGATGGGTGGTTAACTCCAGTGAGGGACTCTGCCTGCTGCCTCTCAGCACTGCAAGTTTTCCACAAAGATCAAAAGGAGAAAGACTGCTGCAAAGGGCTGGAATTTGACTTGTTTCTTCCCTCTTCCACATAGGCATCTTTCACTTTCCAACCTTTTTCCAGGAGGCCACTGGTGTGCCCCAATGCTGTGGAGGAAGGAACTCAACTGCCTTTCCAAGTTGCACACTGCTTCAGTTACATTCCAGATACACCTAGTGGTTCAACCTGGAAGCAGCATTCCTTCCTCTAAAATATCTGGTTCATCTCTGCTGCTGGCAAAACCTAAAGGTTCTCCTACCAGGTTCTTTGGACCAGATCAGAAGAGCTAAGAACTTGGAGTGCACTGAATAAGCCTGAATCCTCCTCCCTAGGCCAGCTGCACTGTCACAGGAGTCAAGTGACTAAAGGGAGATACATTCAGTTCTCATGAGAACTAAAAACCCAACTACCAAACTACTAGAATAACTTTTTATTTCCTCCTTCCTAGTTAGTACAACAGGAACTTTGTTCTCCAAGTTCACCTGTCTTTTAAAACTCAGCAAATCACAACAGACTGCACTGATATACTGTGTTCTTGAAGCAGAAGTCCAGTGCAGGTGTTACCTAAAGAAGGTCTGCAAAGGGAACTAAGATGGTGAGATGCAAAGCAACCTAAGTTTTATTAGGAAAGGAAAGGAAAAATGATCCAACTCATGGTGGGGTATTTATGCAGCTCTTTGAGGCAGGGTGGGACTTGAGCAAGTTTTCTGATAGGTGGAGGTGACTGCCCCTCCCTAGGGCGGAGAGGTCTTTGTTTCTTTGTTTCAAGGTGACTCCCTCTGCCCCTTCATGTTAGGCTCACATCCTGCATGCATTCCTACCGCTGTTTGTGCTGTGCTGCATGGTCCAGCCCCTGCAAGCCTTTGGCTCCTACCCTAATTGCCAAAATAGTTCTAACTCCTAACATCTTTTTCACTGTCTCCCTACCTTGATTTTTCCAACACCCATCTCCCAGCTCACGCAGGAAATCCTCACTAACCACCCTGCCAGTAATCTCTCCTTCCTCTAAGTTCAGAGCTTGCCTCTAACACTTCCCTACATTAACTGCTTAGTGGAGCGATGAAGTATTGGAATTATTAAAAATCCCTGAATCTTTGCAGCTTTCTCATCTAACTAGTTTATATTCTTACTCTGCCTTTCAATACATTGTTCCTTCCCACTTGATGGAAAGCCTCTTGAGGTCAGAAAAGGTCTCCTTTAATTTTCCACTGTTGCACAACATAGGTCCTGAAAAATTTACTTTTTCTCAACAGCTTGGGAGGAGGAGCTGTTATGTTTAACACGATGGTTTCTGTAAATAAATTTCTAAGCAACAGCTATCCCTTGCCTGTTCTCAGCAGGGGCTGAGAATAAAATGCACAATTATTCCCTATTGATACGAACATTTCCCCCAACTAACCCAGGTCTGAGCACTTCTGAGCCTAAAGACTGTAAAGATTTGGAAGATCACTGCAAGCCCAGGCAAAAAGCAGGAGGGCCCTGCAGGTGGCGGTTACCACTGGAGCTGTGCTGATTATTCTACTTAGGCACATGTGCAGAGCCTAGCCCAAAGGCTCTAAGACTGAACGAGAATTAGTGATACTGAATCATCAAATTCTGATTTTCACAGCGGCAGAACCAGTTCTGCGTTTTCTTCACGCATCTTGCCTAGAGCATAATCAAGCAAATAGTTCAGACACCTAAAGAAGGGGGCGGTGTCTCTGGGCTGCTGGTTCAGCACATCAAAGACTCAAATTCACAATGGATTGAAGTGGACTCTTTGGACATCAGTTCACCTACACCTTCTGTGGCAACCCTGTCCTCCCCGAACTTCCTGTAGAATGCCGGCGGACTCCGTGCTGCCCAAATCTCGCTCAGAGTGGGCACCTGGAAAAGCAAGTGAGTTAAAGCGATCAGAACAGGCGCGTTCTCATTGCTCCGAAGCGGCTAGTGTACTCGCCTAAAATAAAAAGGTCTCTGTCTGCAAATCCCGTTTGCTCGCCCGGTAATCCACCCCCGCCCCCAGCCCGGCGTAACCGACCCGTACAGCTGTTTTTAATCCCTACTTTTCTCACTTGGCGTCCCGGGCTCGGGCTGACCAGACGCGGAGTCACTTAGTGTTTCCTCCTCCCCCTGCCAGGGTCTGTCCTCCCTCCGCCGTCTCCTCTTTCTCCGCCTGTGTCCCTGGGGGGCACAGTGTGGGAAGAACGAATTTCCGCCCAGTCTGCTCGCTGCCTGCTGACTTGGGTCCCTTCCGGACTCAGCCCGCGCACCCCTCGGGCTGTTCTACCCTGCTGCGCTCCGAATCCGGGACCGAGATCGAGGAGACGCCGGCTGCGGGGGCCAAGCCGCCTGGACTCAGCAGCCAAGCCGCACCCCGAGGAGCTCTTGGAAGGACTCCCGCCTGCAGCTGGGGAATCCGCGCGGCAGGAAGAATCCGCGCCAGGGAATCCAGTTCTCCGGACTCCGCAGCAAACAAAAAGCGCCAGGTCTTGCTCCCTCCCCCTCCCCCTCGATGCACACCCGAAGAAACAGTTTTCTGCAGAAATGCAACAAGTAGCTCCGGGGGCTCGCGGAGCGCCCTGCGCCGCCTGACTCGGCTGGGCGAAGCCTGCCTGCGGGGACCCGGGCCAGCTACCGGACAAAGGGTGGAGGAGGGGTTGGACTGCACAGCAAAGTCCGAAAGAGGCCACTTAGTGACTCTGGCCAGGCCGAGGGGAATGCAGAGGAGACACAGAACAGGCTGGCCAAGAGGACGTTCAGGCCTCAGTACGCAGGGCGGACGGCGATGGAGGCTGTCCGCACCGTGCGCTTCCTGCTCGTGCTGTGCGGCTGCCTTGCGATCCCGCCGCGGGCAGAGCCCGTGTGCCCAGATCGCTGCGACTGCCAGCACCCCCAGCACCTTCTGTGCACCAACAGGGGGCTCCGCGCTGTGCCCAAGACCAGCTCTCTGCCTAGCCCCCAAGACGTGCTCACCTACAGTCTAGGTGGCAACTTCATAACTAACATCACCGCCTTCGACTTCCATCGTCTGGGACAACTCCGACGGCTGGACCTGCAGTACAATCAGATCCGCTCTCTGCACCCCAAGACCTTCGAGAAGCTCTCGCGGCTGGAGGAGCTCTACTTGGGAAACAACCTCTTGCAGGCGCTGGCGCCGGGCACGCTGGCCCCCCTGCGCAAGCTGCGCATCCTCTACGCCAACGGAAACGAGATCGGCCGCCTGAGCCGCGGTTCCTTCGAGGGCCTGGAGAGTTTAGTCAAGTTGCGGCTGGATGGGAACGCCCTGGGGGCACTGCCGGACGCAGTTTTCTCCCCCTTGAGCAACCTGCTCTACCTACATCTGGAGTCTAACCGGATCCGCGTTTTGGGCAAGAATGCCTTCGCCCAACTGGGCAAGTTACGCTTCCTTAACCTCTCTGCCAACGAGCTGCAGCCCTCCCTACGCCACGCGGCCACCTTCGCACCGCTGCGCTCCCTGTCCACTCTCATCCTCTCTGCTAACAGTCTGCAGCACCTCGGCCCGCGCGTCTTCCAGCACCTGCCGCGCCTCGGCCTGCTCTCGCTCAGGGGCAACCAGCTCACGCATCTCGCGCCTGAGACCTTTTGGGGGTTGGAGGCCCTTCGTGAGCTGCGCCTGGAGGGCAATCGGCTAAGCCAGCTTCCCTTGGCTCTGCTGGAACCTCTGCAGAGCCTGGAAGCGCTGGACCTAAGTGGTAACGAGCTGTCTGTCCTGCACCCCGCCACCTTCGGCCACCTGGGCCGGCTGCGCGAGCTCAGCCTGCGCGACAATGCGCTCAGTGCCCTCTCCGGAGACATCTTCGCCGCCAGCCCGGCCCTCTACCGGCTGGATCTAGACGGCAACGGTTGGACCTGCGACTGCCGGCTTCGGGGCCTGAAACGCTGGATGGGCGACTGGCACTCGCAGGGCCGGCTCCTCACGGTCTTTGTGCAGTGTCGCCACCCCCCGGCCCTGCGGGGCAAGTACCTGGATTACCTGGATGACCAGCTGCTGCAGAACGGGTCTTGTGCGAATGCCTCGCCCTCGCCAACCGCCGACAGTAGACAGCGGTCCCCGTCCACAACTGCCAGGGAGGAGATGACGCCCCCTGTAGGAGATCTCGTGGAAGAGCTGCCACCGCAGCCGGAGCCCCAGCAGCGGGGGCGATTTCTAGCTGGGGTGGCCTGGGATGGGGCCGCCAGGGAGCTCATGAGCAACCGTAGTCTAAGGTTGAGCCGGCGGGGTCCGGGCCTCCAGCATCACGGCCCCTCTGCTGTTGCGGCAGTGGGCCGTGCTCCACAGCCCCTGGACCTTCATGAGAAGCGGGAGCGGGTACGTCCGACTCGTGTGGATCCCGTCCACACGGAGCCCACCCCGACTGCCGAGCCTGCCTCTGCGCCACTGCCTGCCAGGGACTCCAAGGAGCGCGCAGCAAAGCAGCGCCTGGCCGCGGAGCAGCAGGAGCACGCTGCCCAGTCAGATGGCGGGGTCGGGCTTCCGCCTCTGGTGTCGGACCCGTGTGACTTCAACAAGTTCATTTTGTGCAACTTGACGGTGGAGGCGGTGGGCACCGACAGCGCCTCGGTGCGCTGGGCCGTGCGCGAGCACCGTAGCCCGGGGCCGCTGGGTGGCGCGCGCTTCCGCCTGCTCTTCGATCGTTTTGGCCAGCAGCCCAAGTTCCACCGCTTCGTCTACCTGCCCGAGCGCAGCGACTCGGCCACGCTGCGCGAACTGCGCGGGGACACCCCCTACCTGGTGTGTGTGGAGGGCGTGCTTGGGGGCCGAGTTTGCCCCGTGGCCCCCCGGGACCACTGCGCAGGATTGGTCACCCTGCCAGAGGCAGGGAGCCGGGGTGGCGTCGACTACCAGCTGCTGACCATGGCTCTTCTGGCAGTCAACGCGCTGCTGGTGCTCTTGGCCTTGCGGCTTGGGCCTCGCGCTGGCTGCGGAGGAAGCTGCGCGCCAGACGGAAAGGCGGGGCCCCGGTCCACGTGCGCCACATGTACTCCACCCGACGGCCCCTGCGCTCCATGGGCACCGGCGTGTCCGCGGACTTCTCGGGATTCCAGTCGCACCGGCCACGCACTACGGTGTGCGCGCTCAGCGAGGCAGACCTCATTGAGTTCCCCTGCGACCGCTTCATGGACAGTGCTGGCGGTGGCGCAAGTGGCAGCTTGAGACGGGAGGATCACCTCCTACAAAGATTTGCAGACTAGGTCAAGGCTTCCAGGCTTGTGGAGACTATCTTGTTGGCCTTGAAGAGCCACCTTTCCGTGGGGCTCCCCAACCCCTCTAACAGAAGGTCTGCTTTATCAGACCAGAGAGGCCACAGGGGACAGAGAGCCAATCTGGGTACCACCGTCCACTTCTTTGCTCCCAGGTGTTCACTCATGAAGTAAATGGATGGTGCTTGGTGGTCAAGCCAGGACTGGGGACAAATGGTTTGGCAGGGGCAGAGGTGGGAGGCCTTTTTCAGCAGAGCAGAGCTAAGGAATGGCTCTTGTAGCATTGCAGTACAGTAGCCTAGCCTTCTTTGGGTTGGAAAAGGATGCTTTGCGCCCCCAACATGGCCAGGAAGATTTGGGTGCATGCTTTTGTTTGCTCAGTGTCAAAGAGAGTTCTGTTTCTATTTAAGGAAAAAGGAACTTACCACCATTATAAAGGAGACTTGGCAACTGACCCCACTGGTTTGGTGGTCTCTGCTAAGAGCATGAGGTAAGCAGGTGGTAGCACTTCTCCAAGGAACTTTTTTCTTTTGGCTGGTAGAGCATTCAGGAAATCTTAAGGTTTAAATAATAAGAGACACTATTTTTTTTCAACAATGTGAAGACCTCTGACATTTAACTGACCAATAAGCTCAAAGACTTTTAGTTGGACTTGGCCTGTTCAACTCTTCTTTTTAACATGAACAGGACACAAATGAACGTTTGCTGACTTTGAGGGTAACTAAGATGACATACTTTTCTCAGGAGAAGGCTGCATGCAAGACTTCTCTGTCAGGGTTACTCCTGTGGTTTTAATTTTTTAAACCTATATGTGGAAAAAAATAATGACAGATTTGATGAAAAGAATGCAATATGTATGTAATTGGTGACCCTCTAGAGGGAACTCTGGCTTCCAGCCCACTTACCACATCCCTAACTAACCCTGTGTCTAGATGGGTAAGAATGTGATGTACTTCTTTTTGCATTTTTATCAGCAGCACTCAAACTGGCTGTGCCTGCTTCTCCTGAGTGACCTTAGTTAAATGATGAAGGTAATTTCTAAAAGGGAACCAAAAGATGATTGTCCCAGCTACGCTGGAAACGTAGCTCAGTGATAGAGCACTTGCTTTGTAAGTGAGAGGCCCTGGGTTCATCCCCAGCACTGCAAAAACAAAACAAAAGGGGATTGGCAATTGATAGTGTAATCTTTGACCACATTAATGTCTCTCTTTGTATGAAATAATACATGGGAAGAAATTATGGAAAACAAATGTGAAAAAATATGTCAGTGGGTGTCTGTTTCTACTAAAACCAGGAGATTGTTATGTGTACTCAAACCTCACTGTGAAAGAATTACATATTTTGCAAATTAATCTTTCCACTACCCAGTGTCTCACTGTGTTATTAAATCTTACCTTTTAGTAAATAGTTGCAGTATTTCTTTTCAATTTTTTGTTTTTAAATTTAGGATTAGGCCCCTGTATTTGTTCAGTTGTTTTTAGCTACTTGGCTACTTTTGTTCCCTGATATCTATGAAGTACATGTTTATTGCTAACTGTAGTGGCTGGGTTTACATTAATAATTTTGTGTGTGGTCTAAAAGTGCAGTCACTACAAGGGTGTACACTGTGGTCATAGTCACCGTGGTTATGGATTTCTTGGCATGCAGAACTGTGGAGGCCACTCCAGTGGTGCTCAGGCTAACAGTAACTCTTCTGTTTAGGGCCTCAAACCTCTGAGGGTCAGGATGACTCAGGGAATCCATCACAGTCCAGGGGTCCTGCAACCCAGTTCATTCCTTTTATGTTTGCCCTAGATGGAGCCATGGCTGCCCTTGTTCCAGCAGTCAAGTAGGGGCCCAGGGATCTAAATTAGCTGGTCTTTGTTTATGTTCAGATGAGTAAATGTCCAGACCACTTAAACTACAGCTGCTTTTCTGGCAGTCTTATCTGCAGGGCCAAAACTTAATAAACCACAGGAAATAGACTGTCATTCTTTGTTTGCTGCCAAGTCTTGTTTTAGATTCAGAGTATATGGGTACATGGGAGAGGTAGAATTCATCAGTCTTATTCTCACCCTGCAGGCTATCTGGAGCCTTTTATATTTCTGGCTTAAAAAGAAAAAGATGCATAGCACAATTGCATCTCTTAGCTGTTTCTTTTGCGCAGCAGCGTAATATTGAGTCCCATTGAAAGTCTGGAAAAGACCTCTGGTGACCTCTGATTCCATCCACCATCCAACTTTTCACCATGAATGAAAATGCTTAATACCTGGATCTGTGTTTGACTTAAAACAGTTTCGCTGGAAAGTCTTCAGTGGGAAGTGAATAAATGTTATACATTGTTATGTTCAGTTATGTCAATAAACCCTCTTACTCGTAGACATGTTTTGCTTTTGGAGTTTACAAATTTTTTTTTCACTTTTGAAGGATACAATGCATTTTTGCCAGTTTTCATCCATGAAAATGAAATGTAAGCTTGAAGTATTTCCGTTCTCTTTCCATTTTTGAAAAGTTTTAGTTCCACGGGCAAGTACGGATTTTGTCTTAAAGAAACGGTTGTGTGACATTTTACCCAAAGAAACAGTGAGATGACTCTAAAATCAGATGGTCAGCTTCAGTTAATGCTGGTAACCTCCAGCCACAGCAGCGATGATTGGGTCTTAGCAGGCATTGCCTGTTCAAAGGAAAGTGAATTAAAAGCCAGGCCCTTTTACTCTCATGGTCAATGACAAGAAAGAATTCTCTCGAACTGGAGGTTACTTTTGCCATTACAAAGTTTATGAAAAGACAAAATTCCTAAAGGAAAAAGAATAAGCTTTGTGTGTGTTAAGAGGGTTCAGTTAAAGAGCCATTGTGCTCAAAACATTGGGACCACTGCTTCCACAAGGCAGAGATTTGCAAGGTTGACCTAGTAAGTAGCATGTGATCAGAACAGAACATCTTCACTAATGTGCCACATACCTCATCTTCACCAAAGAACAGCAATATGGACAGCTACTGGATAGTAACAAAGCATTAAAATAGGAAGGTGTTATCCAGTACTTGTGGTTAATTCTGCCCTTTTCTTTGCTAAGACATGGACATAAATGACAATAAAGCTTTCTAGTCCAGGAAATGTATTCAAAATTCCAGAATCAGTACTTTCGGCATCCTCATAGAGTACAGCATCGTAAACTTCCAGAGTAATGATAAGTGATGAAATGAACTAACCATCAGAAGTTTGCATTCATTCTTTGTACCTAATCTCTGTGCCTTAGCTAATGTATCAATTAAAAAGGGCCTCCCAGAGTTCTGGAGGCAAAATGATACTACAAAGTATAAATAAGTAAACAGCGTTTTACAGTACCAGCTGCACCACAATGTTCAATAGACATTAAATGAATTCTTACTAGTAGTATTTTCCTGTTCACAAGGCAACAAGTTGCATGAACCATTTTTGAAGTTTCAACCACAAGGCATTTCTCCAGTCAAAATTCAGATAGTGATATTACAGACATCTCTAACCTCTCCTTGTTTGACTTGAGATCTTCTAGAATTTGGTATGGAATGATAGCTCTCCAAATACTTTCTCATAATTAAAGAGAAGTGAGTATAGTAATATTCAACAAAACTTTCTGTACTTATTAAATTACTAGCATAAAGTAATTTCATCCTTTAAGTTGGAACTAAGGATGCTGAAGCAGTCTTGCTTCTATAGTGCCTCTCCTTCCCCTCAATTTACTGACAGCATCTCCAAATACCCTTTACCTCTTAGTTACTAAAATATGCACTTTGCATGCACAAATGCTTTTTCCCTAGGGATTTCAGGCCACTCCGTCCTTTTCAGTCATGTGGCAAATAGTATTCTTTTCACTTTGCATGGGGAGACTTGAGCTATTTGGAGATTGTACTTAACTGCGCTAACGGCTGAAACAATTACAATAGAATAATAGGAAAACGATCTTTAGTTGCTTTATCTTGGGGGCAGAGTATGGAAAGATCCCATTACATCTGTTGGGGAGAAGTAACGCTACAGGTGGTCTGATTTCTAACTGACACAGAAATGTGGCTTTATAATTTGGTTGTGAAGTAGCATTAGATACTAGGTAGAAATAAACTGTTACGCACCAGTGTTTCAAACTATAGTATCTCCCAAGTCTGTAAATCCGTAACATTTCTTTCAAACTGTCGAAAGCTTTACAATGCTAGTTCTGTGCCACAGCTCCTGCCGAGACAGGGCAGTACTGTCGTGTATTAAGACCAGCTGGGGCCATGTAGCAGCCATTCCCTTCTCCAAATTACAGTTTTTGATGAAGTAATGCTTATCCTGCAGCTGATCTCACACTTAGCTCTTAGTATATGTACCCTGAAGCATGTGAAAACACACCACCATCTATACCCTTTCTCCCAACCATGGTATCCTGAGGATTTTTACATTAGGAAATTAATATGCCTACCCATAATAACAGGCACCCACATTAGCGCCTCTCAATAACAGCTAAAGTTTTATGATGCTTGTGTTCAACCTTAAGCATTTCCATTGACAAACCCCCCTGGTTTCCATCTGTACCCCGTCCTCAGACTCAACTACTACTGTGAGTTGAATGCGTTTCTTTTTAGTTCATGTTTAAATATAGTTGATTCTTGTTCAAGTTTGGTCTTGAACATAGGATTTAGGAGTACTGAACCATTACTCCTAAGGGGAAAGACAGGGTTAGGTTCCTGAAAGCCTTTGTCACATTTTTGTCAGGTTATCAATACATAACCTTGTTTTATGTGTCTGTTTAAGCAACATCTTATTTAATATACACTGTTCATTCATCTGCAATGAACTCACCTCCAGAAGCAATGTAACTCATGCCTGCACAAAGTGCACCTGACAGTCGCTCCATCAGACATGTTACAGCCTTCCTATGCTCAGACACCCTATGGTGCTTTGCCTTTCAGCACTAGGATTGGGGCAGAATCACCAACAAAAGGCACAGATGTGCTAAAAACATGTCACCAAATAGTTTGTAAAAAGGACACTTGGATGAGAGCTAGAACAAGAAGGAAGAACCTGGTTTGACCTCAGCTCGGAGCATGCAGAAACAACTAATTCTTCACTGTCCAAGTAAGTCCCCAAATGACGGTGAGAGTGCTCGAGTATTGATTCTGGGGTCACAATTTTAGTGAGAAGATGAATGCAGGGACATGAAA